AATTCTGGTCTTTTGGTTTTCTCAGGCTAGGATTATGTGTGTTGTAGCAGTTCAGACAAGGTCTACAAAGTGTGAGGTAAAATAGTAAATAAGGAAATCCAGTAATGTGCTTTTATTTGGGATATATATGTATATATAGATTAGTCTGTGCATCTAACACCTCTGTATGTCAAACCCCACCCCACTACTTAGTTTGTTTATAAACTTTGTAAACAAGAGACTAACAGCCCTTTCACAATTGTGACAGGCAACTAGTCATCAGCTGCGCTGTCTTCTTGTGTCCCAGAAGAGAGCAATGCATTCATGTACAAATTTTGTACACTGCTTAGTTACTTAAATATGTCTGTTGCTTATTAATTGAAATAAGAATTAATAAGTGCCAAAATATTTTTGTCTGGAAGCATTTTACTTGCCTGCAACTGTCATATCAGCACTGTTTATGTTCAGTTCAGTTTATGGAAAATTCTTTGGCTGGAGAAGACTTGATGTATCTTACCATTTCCATTAATTTTTATTTAATTGCACAGAACCTCCAGCTGGTAGCTGATGGCTGCTGTAATCTACAGAAGCAGATTCAAATTACTCAGCTCTTTGAAGTTCCTGTTGTGGTTGCTCTTAATGTCTTCAAGTAAGTTGATTCTTTAATTACTCTTGTGAGTAAATCCACAGTTCTAATTTTACACTTTTCTTGCTTTTTAAAATACTCAGTTTTGGCAAGAAGAAAATAAGCTATTAAAGAATTTCCTTTTTTTTTTTTTTCATCATGAATATAAAGACCTTTAAATCCTTAAGTTGTTCTTAAGGTTTTAAAACCACCAAACAAGTACATACTGTTTTGGAACTATTAATCTTCCATGTTAATTAGCTATAACAATTACAAAAAGTGTTCTTGAAACATGTCAATACATATGCTGTATGGACATGCATTGTGTATATGCTGCAATTTCTATATGGATTTGCTTTACAACTGCTGATGATATATTAAAGCTAAGTATATAATGTTATAAAAGAGAACTAAATAAACAGAATAATGAGATGGAACTGTTTGGTTGGCAGAACTGACTCTCCTGCTGAGGTTGATCTGGTATGTAAAATTGCAAAGCAATCTGGAGCATTTGATGCTGTCCCCTGCAATCACTGGTCAGCTGGTGGTAGAGGAGCAGTAAAATTAGCTCGAGCTGTGGAAGAGGCAGCCAATCAGAAAAACAGTTTCAAATATCTCTACAGCTTGGAGGTAAGATTTTTTAACTTTTTTTTAAATGAACACATGCTGCATCAGTGTTGGATTTAAAACAAGTAGAACATTGCAACAAAGCTATCTAACATACTTGGAAAGGGGCTTGACTTGGCTTAAAATCACGCAAAACTGGATTGAACAAACAATCTGTGGCTTGTCGAATCAGAGGAGCAGGATACTTGCTGGTAATGCTCATTTTTCAGTGCATTGAATGATGTTTCTGATTCTTTCTTGCTTAACACAAAAATATGTATGTAGGTGGAATATTCGCAAATTATTGTGGGAGACTTCTCCACAATGATCTCACTGTCATGATATTTGTCTTGACAATCAGCTGAAATGAAATACAGTTACTGTCTCACAGTCGTGGCTGTTGCACCAAGTTGTGGCTCCCTGAAGCGTTCACTGTCTGTATGAGAGGGAGGTTAGAGGTAGCATGTGCACACTCATGCTGCACGTCTGCCCAGCCAGGCAGGTCAATGTGCAGAGAAAGCACTGCCTTTCCCAGCACCCACTTACACACCCACAGCCCTCAGAATGTGAAGAGCACAGGTGACCCAGTCCTGTTCCTTCTCTCCTGCTGATCAGTATTGGAGTCTGCTAGTGCACTATGGCACATACGATATATAGGTCACTGCTGCTGTTCGCCTTAGATCCTCAGACTGTCCAGGAGAAGCCCCCAGTGCCCTTGCCCTGCTCCAGTTGCTGGCACCAGGGTCCACGAGCCCGAGGCTCAGGGCACACTCTACCTCCTGGCACTCAGACCTCTCCTCCTGCTCTCTAGTCTTACGTGCAAATCTAAAGCAAAGAACACACCCACACAGAAGGTAGTCAGAAATCAGATTTGATGAGAATAGAGGACAAACTGTGGTCCTCAAGCACAGAGCTCAGTCAGGCAAGCTACTGACCAGACACCTTTACGCTCAACCACCCCCTTTCTGCTCCCCCTTTTCCCTCTCTTTTTTTCCCACACTTGTTCCTCTTCAATCCGCCTTGATTATTGCCTTTCCCCGTGTTTGGTCCTTCCACTAAAGGTGCCCTAACAATCTTTACACATGCACACAATCCCCTTCATAAGTTCCCATAAGTAATAATAATAAACCCATTCACAGAATCCCATCATAAGTTTTACGCAGTCCCCAAATACTCTTCTTCCTACATCTGGAAAGGACTCCTGTGCTGCTCTAGGCAATCACCCCTTTCGTTTGCAAAGTTTTCTGATGAAAGAGTTTCCCTGTTGACTCACCTTGGTGCATTTCACACCAAGAACAATGGTCTCATCCTTCCCCTTGGATGGTCTTAGGAAACAGGCAATTCAGTGTGCTCTGATTTTCACTAATTAGGTTTTTTCACTGATTACATTACTAGGGTTCCTCCACCCTATCATTGTTCTTCTGATCCTTGCTTGGGCTTTGTGTTTAATTTGCTTAGTTAATCAGATAAGCTAACAAAGGATAGTGTGATCCAAGTTTCTATCCTTTGTCTGCCAGAAATGGTGACTCTTTTTCTGTGTCTTGGAGGCTGTTATTACAGTCACCAGCAAGGTAACATTGCAGCATCATGAGCTGTCAAGAGGAGCAGCTTGCAAGGAAGGACTGACTGGGCCCCTGAAAGCACTATGCTTGAGTACCACTGTGCAGACAGAACATTTGGAGGACATATTGCTGAGAAGGTTATACAAATGATTTCTCAGGACCTTCCTGACTATTCAGTTGTGGGTGGGTTAGAATTTGGGCAGCAAAATAGACTTCTCTGGCACCAAGGAAGCCCTTGTCAAATTTCAGATTCTGTGCCCTAGCGCTACTTAAGTTTCTTTAGAAAATGTTTGAATGCTATTTTTTTAACAGCAGAACCTCAGCTTCATTTTTTTAAATGGCTGAAAGTTCCTGTTTTGATTCTTCTCGCCAGAAAAAAGTTCAACCTGAGGTAGATATGCCCTGCTGTTGTCTTTCACTTTATCTCCTCCCTGATGTGTACCTCGTATCTGTTGCACCCATTTTCTTTCTTCTTCCCAGCTCCCCCACTGTATTCCCAAATGTCAGTAATCCAGCCAACTCCTAATAATATTAACCACTTCACAGAATAGATGGAAATACCTTGGGAATATAAATGCTGCAACATCTATTCGGGGCGTGCTGCCCACAGAACATTTTTACAGCCAAACAACGGACAATGTATCTGCCTTTCTGAGTCTGTCTCTGATGAGATACTCTGGAAACTGAGGATATCATTTTATGGGTTTTGCATAATAAAATGAGAAAATAAATTATTTCAGAAATACATGTAATAGTTTTCCCCATAGGACACTTGTGTTACAGAGGTAGCACATTAGCATTTGACAAGTCCCATATTTAAGCTCTGATGTTAGTGTATTCTATGTAGTTTACAATCTTGTAGCATGAATGAGTAGAAGGGATTGGTGGGGCACACTCTGCCTCTATGAAGGAAGGAAATGAGATTGATTTTTGCTTTAATGTCTTTCTCAGACACATCTTTTTGTGCTGTGTCACATAAGCAGCATGATCCTAAGCACAAAGGGAATTAATCACATCTTTACCTCAACTTGATATCCCATTAACACAAGTATTATAAGCCTCAAAAATATGTTGAAGGGATTTTATAAAAACATACAAAGATTTTTAAATACTGTAAAAAAGTAAATTCAGGCCAACAAAAACAGTGAAGTGTAAAGTTCAGGCTTCTGTTTCATTCTTTCTGTGCAAAGGATGGGGACTGCAGGTGGAAGCAGGAGAGTGAAGCAGCAGTGCTGTCACTTGTACGGTATGGTAGGTCGTTTGGTCACTGGGCCTATAGAGACATTAAGAAAAGCCACCTCTTCCCAATGAGCCTGTTTAGATATTAATTAAGGTTGTAATAGGATTTTTTGATGTAGCGGTTTTGAGGACTGAGTTCTACTGTTCAAAGGGGTAACTATGACAGAAAATTAAGAAAGAGGTGGGATTTAGACAGGTAATTTTCCTCTGTCATTGTGCCTAAAGAGGATGGAAGTGAAAGCATGCAGTTCCATCCCTTGTCTTTCCAGTGGCTGCCAGATTTGTCCAGTTAGTTGAATACCTTGAAGCCCTGGTTACCTCATGTTTGACAAAGACTTCCTTGAAAGGTGTTTACAAATATGTGTAATGTGGGAAGAACAAGAAAGTATTTTCTGTATCTGTCAAATACTGGTAAAAAATTGAAGATCAGCAATTTTTTTTTTCCTGAATCTTTAGGTATGTTTATACATTTATACCATCTTGTCCAGTGATACCCAAGTATGTCCTGGATGAGTAATTTTACACAGTGGACACAACACAGTTGTGTCATTTCAGAACTCGGGCTCAGCTAAGTGGTCCTGTTGAGTACCATAGCAAGCTAGTCTAATTACAAGACTGTACTAATGAGGTTACATTCCTTGAAGCATCTTATTCAATCTGTTTAAACTTATTTAGGTGTCTCTACATTACATTGTTTTATCGTCCCACTTTTAGATTGCTTTTTAGGTTCTATTTGTTTATTTATCTAAGCAGGAAAACTTTTGTTTTTATCCTAGTATCTAATGCTTGTACATTTTTTTTTTTTAATACTACTTGATTCTAGCAAGGGTTTGTTTGACGTTTGGTATTAGATGAATGAATATTTTTCAGGAGGTGAAATGAGAACAGAATAAGCTTCAAACATATTTCAAGGGTAGTGCAAAGAATAACTGCATGTATGATTTTGGGAGTGCGTATATGTGCCAGCATCACTGCATGGATCAAGTACAAGAAGTGACCTCTTGTCACTTTAAAAGTGTAAGAAAAGGGAATAAACAGGTACAGTGAATTGCATAGAGTGGGGGGATGGGGTGGTCAGGAGCAAGGATGAGTTTTTATATGATAGGCTCCAGAGTTCATAACATAGTTTAAAAGTTTATTCATAGTAGTCATAATAAATACCATAGTAGTGTATGGGTTTAATATGGATTTTTGCCCCCACTGTACACTAACCTCTCTTATTTTAAGGTTGAATTGGTTTCTTGCCAAGTATTTCTCTTCAGTGTTTGGAGGATGGGTTTGTTTTAAAGGCCTTCTGAACTCTCTATGAAATAATCTATGCTTTTTTTTTTTAATAGATATTCTTGCAACATATGGAAAATATCAAAATATCAACTCTCTTATCACTGTTGACTTCCTTTCTGGGTTCACTTTTCTTGAAATATGGGCCTTTAAGTTGCAGCAGAAAGCTATTACTCAAAATAAAGTTGACTGACCCATTAAAAGGAAGTTTAGATAACTAGGGGGAGGATAAGAGAGTATGGAAACATACACATCACATTCCCAAATTTCTCTGGCTTCAGTGCCTGTTCTTGGCAGGGGGGCAAACTATGCTAATGCATGCCTCTTGAGTAACCTGTCTTCTTTCACCATCCCGATCTCCTCTCTCCTCCTGCAGGGAACTCTCCCTTGACTCACAGCAGCGCTCCGCAGTCTGAGGGAAGAAACATGGGTCTGAATGAAGGCAGGCACTAGGTTTTTAAGAGGTGCATTGCTCCCTCCTGCAAGGCAGTGTTAAGCACAGTGAGCTTAACACTCCAGGAGATAAAAGAGAGAAGAAGGGCAGGCACGTGGCGTGAGGCAGGATCCGCGTATCTGGCCAGTCAGTGAGGTAGCATTGTCCCCTTAAAAGACTGACACAATAAGATAACCTGACAAGATATGATTGAAGAGCCTCAAATCACCTGAGTTGTCCTGCACTGGAAAACTAAAATGAGGGCTGTAAAGGTCACAAAAGGGAGGGAGGAGATGGGGGGTTGTTCCAGTCTTCCAAGTTTGTCAGATGACATCTATCTTTGCCCAGTGCTCTGCTTTTAGGTAATGTCATGACAAATTAAAATATTTCCAGGTTATACTGTGGAAGTTGATTACACAAATGTTTTGGCTGAGTGCAGTGAATTGCCTGGCCAGCCTGCAGAACAAAGGAGAGCTTTCTCAGTTTGGGGCCATCCACTGGGAATGAGG